ACTATGCTCGGGAAAGTGCTGATATGAGGGAGCCTGTGATTGGGGGTCTAATTGAGATTGCCTTCGACTTGTGTTAAAGGCCTTGGATCGCCTTACAAGATAGAAGCGAGTGAGCTGTTGTTGCAAGAAAGGAGAGATCTGGGTTGGTTGCGTCAATATGAGCTAAGGATCCCTTGGGTAGGTGCATTCCTGTAGTTGAGCTTGGTGTGTATGAGTGAGGATGCCCACTTTGTAAGAGAGCGAGTGATGATGGTAGTTATTTTCTTATGTGGCAGATGATGAATTGTCCGCTTGCCGTCCCCCCCCCCAACCCCCTCGTATAGTGGGCTTGAGCAAGTTGTGCTTGAGTTGCTCCCCTTAACCACTGGGCTAGTTTTGCGCACGGCGCACCTACGACGCCATGTTCATGGCGAGGCGCATGTGTTTAAAATAGCGCACGCTATTTGCGCCACATGTGAGCCATGGCGCATGGCACAAAATAGTGCGCCAAATTGTTTTTAAATTTCATTATACTTATGAATATTTTTTACAAGAATTTACAACTTAACATGTTTGATTCTTATTGATTGCTACTTGAAGTGTTTCACTAGCAACCATGGTTTAGAGGCGTCCACCTCTTAAAATTTAAAAAAAAAATGCTCGGTGCCGCTAGGCACATGCTCGGTACCGCTAGGTACATGCTCGGTACCATTAAGTACATGCTCGGTACCGCTATTTACATGCTCGGTACCGCTCGGTACATGCTCGGTACCACTATGTACATGCTCGGTACTGCTAAGTACATGCTTAGTACTGCTATTTACATGATCGGTGCTGCTCAGTACATGCTCGTTACCGCTAGGTACATGCTGATACCACTATTTACATGCTTGGTACCACTCAGTACATGCAGGTCGAACCCCCTTGGACCCCCGGCAGCCCGGCATATTATTGTATTCATCATGTTTAGTAATATTTGTTAGTGTTAGTCTGCTTCTTCATGAGTGCATGCTTTGTATACGTTTTCTTCATGAGTGCATTCTTTGATTGGGAGACATTGGACTCTATAGGAGAGGAGGAATGGGCGAGAACTTTAAATGTGAATTCTTGTATCTTGGATAGCTTGTTTTTCATTTTTAATGATATTTTATATTCATGCTTATTATTTTATAATTTTTAAATAGTTTGTGCTATGTTCAAAATGGCGCGCTATGCGCCATGGCTCCAAGGGGACCTTTGCGCCATGGTGCGCCATTCGCTTTTAACAGGTATGGGTACTTGTGAATGTATATATATAATCTTTCTTTGATGAGAGATTAAAAAATTTTCTTCCTTTTTAGTGCTTTTTTTTGTTATGTTTTTATGCACACTTCCTATTGAGTGTTTTGGAACCTAAACATCAACACCCAGATTCTGCCTAAAACCTACCACCCTCCAATCCATTCCCCAAAATTACCATCAATCCTTAAACACAAACTCTAGAGCACCATTTTCATCATCATCTTAACATCTAAAGCTCTCCACTACTATGATAGGAAATACTTGAGTTCGCGAGCAAACATATCACTAATTGGTGAGAACGGCAAGAATAATGCAAAAATCTGGGTGAAATCAGTCCCAAAATGATGGATTGCAATAAGGGAATCAAAGCCAAACAAACACCAAGCAAGATACAAGCGATCCTTAATTCGAGAGGAGGAATGTTCTCTCCCAGTCTCTAGAAAAGGAATCTAGAGCCCAAGACACCAAGGAACTACAAGAGAAAACCAATCAAAGCCTAACCCTAACCATAGCTTCTCATGCTTTTAAATACCCTCCCTCCTAAAAAAAAGAAGAAAAAAAAACCCTCCCTCCTAATAAAAGCTTCCTAATATAAAACAAATTCAAATTGTCCTCCTCATGCTTAAACTACCCCCTCTCTCTCTCTCTCTCTCTCTCTCTCTCTCTCTCTCTCTCTCTCTCTCATTTCTGCCCAAGGAGGGGGCGCACTTGCTTAGGCGGTGGGCATTAAAGGAGGCCCGCCTCCTATAGGTCTGAACCGGCCCCACCTGGGACGGTTTGGGCTAAGCTGTAACATAATACATTCTTTCCATCCACAACCCCTTATTAACCCATTTTTCTGACCTGCTCAAAATCAACTACTCACACTACACCATTGTTCTTTCCACCACTTGTTTGGAGTGTTACATCAGAGATGAAATTCTTGAGATAGAGATAAACTCGCTTGAGGTTTACGTGGGATTTCCATGATCTTCCTCGGCCCGAGAAAGATTCTCGAGATCAAGGACCCAACTCAATATGATAATACCAATGTTATGCTACATATATGGCCATGGTGTTGCCATTCAAAATGTGCGAAACTTGAAGAATGGGAGATTGATTTGAAACATTTTCATGCGTCTATATCATCGATTGAGTCTAAATATCATGCTCCTGTGAGGAGAGTACGAGATAAGATGAGAATTTCCTGAGATTGAGATAGGCTTTGCTGAGATTTGGGAAATATTTTTGAGAACTTATTGGGTTTGATATGGATTGTTGAGATTGAGAATGATTTCCTGAGGATTCAAGGAACACAGTATGATGATTTCAAGCTCTTTATATAGGATGTTGCCAATGGAAGGGTACAAAATTGAAGAGTAAGAAAGTAATGCTTTTTGATAAGTACATTATTCGAGTAAATTTTAGCATTTCCTATATCTAACGATCTTGTCCATGTTTTTGGTTACTTTTTGATTTCCTATATCTAACTCTTTGGTTAGCTCTGATTTTTTAAACAACTAAAAATTATCGTGTACAATACTATTCTTTTTTATGAGAGTCCTCGCTCTTGGGGCAAAGAGTCCGATTGACTTAAAGATCTACCAGCATCATTTTTTGAAGAATAATTATAATGGTAGAGTGTCATATCTTCTAATAATTTGCTTTTGGATTATTTTGTTGTAAATGACTGGAAACAATTTTTGGAAAACCTGAATTTTGCACATCTTCTGATGCTTATTTAAGAATTATGTGTCACTGAAAGAGAATTTATCTATTAACCACAAATTTTTCTATTTATTTTATTTTCAGGATTGAAGCCGTTTATTATAACGTCGAAGTTGCTGTCAGACGTACAGCGGGAAAGATGGTTTATTATAATGCTCGTTGTCCCGTCAGCTTGTGCTGCGCTTCGTTAATATTCTGCTGTAGAGGGTATCTTTGTTTTACTCAAGACGTTTAAAGTTATGGCTACTTGATATGTATTTTTGATGTTTGCCGTTGACGTCTTAATGTGGACAGATATTGTTAAATCAATAAGTTGCTTAGGCTGGCTTTATTGTTGGTATGTGATATATTTCTCTCTACAGGTGCACATCAGGAAAATTTCCTTTGATTGGTTAGCTCCGGCGATCATTAAAGCTGGGTCTCTTTGCTTGCTCTGAGTTCTTTGTTCCTTAATTTTTTTTATTTTAATTTGTAGGGCTAGAAATTTTGCAAGCTACCTAAAGATTCATTATGCAGCTAGTCTTTATCTGTTGGTTCGCAATATTGATTATATTTTGAGTTTGAAGTTTGCATATGTGGTGTGTATGAGTTTGTCTTAATTGACTTGAAAGTCTAAAAAAAACCCTTAAGATTCATTTGAATATTGGAAGTTATTTGGTTTTTGGTTCATATCAAAATAGAAATTGCATGCTAAGCTTAGCTTCTGTACATGAATTGAATCAAACAAGCTTAAAATTGAAGCAAAATATTATTTTTTTTATAGTCGTATGTCCGTGCACTAGGAGTAGTTATTGGGCCTTACCGATGGGATTTCTCATTTGAACGAAGCTGATAATTTATATTTTGGATCATTTAGGTATATACATAGGTAAGATTTGAACGCAAGATCTTTTAGTTGGTAGTCAAAATTTTTTATCAACATACAAAATAGAGTTGCAAGTTGATAATATTAAAGCAATTGTGTAATTAGAATATTATAAATTTTAGGATTATTTGGCATGATATTAGTTATATATACAATTTATAGAATAGGTAAAAAATGTGATAGTACATTTTGGCTCTATATGGTCACCTAAAAACTATTTGGTGCAATGACTGGACGTAGCGCTACGTCCGTACTCTAATTAAAACTAGATATGTGGAGCCATGTGGATTTTTTTTTTGTATATTATCTTTGTTTTATGTCTTGTTAGGCCGATCGACCTGATCGACCTGACCGACCCTTAAAAATTCAATGGAGTTCAAAAGACGTGAAATGGGTTTTTTTAGATTTCACCCTACATTTTTAATTTTTCACTCTCTCTCTCTCTCTCTTGTCTAGCTCGGTTCTTCAGAAGTTGTTCTTCTAAACCTTCGGCATTTTCAGTCTCCAGGACCATTGGGGGTAGCAGAAGTTTGTCTACTTTGTTTTTAAAAATAGGTAAAAATTGTTGCGCCATTGTTACACTTTTACTGCGTATTAATACTTTTCATTTTTTTCCCCTTATTTTTCTTATATTTTATGTGCGGCTTTACTATGTTTTTGCATTCATGGTTTCATTTTCTATATTGATTAAGTAAACATTTCTTTTCATCTTTCATATCCTCATGTGCTGTACCTGTATTTTACCTTAGGTTTAGCAGCAGTTAAAGCACAGAGCACGTAAAGCGCAGTCAAAGCACAACAACCTAAGCAAGTTTTAACTATACTTTTAATGCTCTTTCAATGTTCTTTTCATTATTCATCTGACATTTCTAATTTTTCACTCTCTCCAGTCATTTGACATTTCCATTCTCCATGACCAGGCGGGCAACAAAAGTTCGCCTCCTTTGCATTTAAAAGTAGAAATGGCCTAGTAATTTTACTGCATATTATAATTATTTCTAATTTATGTACATCATTATTATATTTTTGATGTGCTTTCACTATGCTTTACATGTGCTTTCGCTACTCTTTTGATGCACTTTACATGCGTTTTTGTTGAGCATTTGCTGTGCTTTTACTGTGCTTTCTTCTTATTCTCTGATTATTATTTTTTATTTATTTATTGCAGATGGCTCCTTAATCTTGTCCGTTATTTCTCATTGCGAAGTTTCAACTTTCAGAAATATTTGTGACTCATTTGTTGAAATAGTTCTCAAAGATGTTTAGGACACTTTGAGGACTATGCACATCCATTAGTTCTTGAAGTTCCCACCATTTAACAAAAAAAATTTGCATGCTTCAATTTCTCCATGTAGATTTTTTAATCAATTAATCAAATACTGCTTACAAGTTTGCCCAACAGAGGTGTTGAGATCATATGTCAGGCCGAGCCACTTACTGGAGTTTTGTCAACTGAAATTAAAACTAAAATGATGGAACTAAACAAATCAACTGATGAAGTTGTTATGTTAAAAGCTTTATAATGTTTTTGGTTTCCAATTTATTTTTTCCCCTCAATACCAATAGAACCCCAAGAAGTTTGGTTTCTATACATAATAATGTAGATGAATTTTCATCTATTAATTGGGCTGGTAGTAGGAAAATTTTTATCCAAATATTTAATAAGATTGCCAACAAGATTGCTATGGAGAAGCCATTGGTTATATTAATGGATTTCTTTCTCTTTTATTGGTGAGTCCTAATTTCATTTAAGTTTAATTTAAACTATAAATATTTTTTTATAATTCATAACCTCATACTACTTTACATTGTCTAATGCAAATATAATTCCTAGAGTACATCTCTTATACAAATAGGTACCAAAATTTAAGGCCATGTTTTCTTAGATGGGGGGCAACATAGATATTTTTTATTCCGCAAAGAATGCCAAACATTTATTCGCTACCTTGAAGGAAATGTAGGTATGTATTTATATTTGCATTTAAAATTTTAAATAATTTTGCAAAGATTTATAATTTTTTAAATAATATTTAACACTTATAGAAAAAACGTAGTGAAATGGCAGTGAAAGCGCAGTAAAAGCGCAACAAGAGTGTTGTGAAAGATCAGTGAAGAATTCGATTAACTATTCTTTCACTAAGCTTCGGATGTGCTTTCTCTGTGTTATTACCGCGCTTTGGCTACGCTTTGAATGTACTCTTAATGCCCTTGGTATATTCTTAGTAATGAGATTTTCTAATTTTTGTTAATTTGTGTTCAGATTTTTCATATCCTCTAGGGTGTTAGTCAGGAAGTAGCAGATAATTTGAATGCTGACATAATTGTTATTGATAACCCCAAAATTTGAACTACTCAAACTCACCAAATCCCCTCACCAAAACCAAAAGAATTGACCACCCAAACCTCTCATTCTCCCCTTTAAGGTCATCCATATTCTCCCCATTGAGACCCCCCTCAAGCTCAAGGTGAGGATTGGGCTATTGTTTACAAAAAATTGCTTGGTGCCCTAAATAACTATTGTAATAGGTTTGAAGAGAATTTGGGCACTATGATTGATTGACTTGAAACACAAGTCGATTATCTTGAGTACAAGCTCATCCACCATATAGCCCAGTGTAAATATGATATAGAAAAAAATCCCGCATCTTCCTCATCCTCTTCTTACCCATATGTAAAAAATCCCTCCACATCTATAAATAAACCAAACCAAAAGGTACACAAACCCCCCAAAGAGATCTCCACAAGACTCCACCCAACTACCGGCCAACCCCCATTATTAGAACCCTCCTTTGCAACCCAAGTATTTATAGCTTATGTCACTGAATATGACATAGTGTGGAATTTTACCTTGGTAGCCTTCCCAAACTCATTGATCAAGATCATAATCACTATCATGATGCATTGAACCAACATTAAGCCTTTGGTGGTCTTTGATTTCCCATATTATATTTTTATCTATGTTTTTATAAGTTTAAATATGTTGTTTTAATTATTAGTTTATAGAAAAAACTCAAAAATGATAGAAAATCTAAAGTAAAGTATAGTACGATGACATCTAAAAATTCAACATTGTAGTGCCATATTTCACACTGTCGAGGAACTACACTTGGACATGGAAGCACCATGTTTACTATCTTGAAGCACTATGGCATCAAAATGGTCAGCATGGTAGTTCCATGTTCACTATCTTCAAGCACCGTGATGGTACTATCTATCATGCCTTGGCACCAAATCTGCCATCAAGTTATGTAGCGTTCAAAAGTCAACAATGACATTGCATAATATTGTAACTTCAAAGGACACGATATGCCAGCAAAGCAACACAAATGTTCACTAAGCAACTATTCCAAATTAGAAAGAACCTTGGCGGTGTAGAAGTTTCAGTACCAAAGCATTAATTTATTTCAAGGGCACCGTGGTGCTACTCTTTCAAGCATCGTGGTGCGCCACTCTTTCAAGCATTGTAGTGCCACATGCTATTTTTGTGTTATCTTATAAATAATAGTGATGCTAAGTTTTAAAGGAGTTTAGTTACTTGTTTAATTTTAGTACTTTTTGAAGTAATTCTTTAGTATCTCTTAGAGTCAATTCTAAGAGAGACTAGAGAAGTGTTAGATATAATCATTAGAGTGTTTAATCAGTATTTGTTTGAGTAACTTTGTATACTAAGAAAGGAGTGTGGATGAGATATATTAATCCTTCCTGGTAATATCACTCTCTTGTATTTTTATTCTTCCATGATTCAAATAAAAATAAGTTTTCTTATCTTTACTTTAATATTTAACTAGTTCTTTAGTTTTGAATTTATGATGTAGAGAATATATTAAGTACTCTGAAGATTCTTATACTATAAAGTTAATGCACATAGTGATCATATATATAGTTAAAATTTTGTGTTATGTATAGCATCGACGAAGGAATGTAAGAACAACCAATAATATTGAAATAATATATTCGCATACCTAGATATATCATGCAAAATATACTAGGTTCTTAAGGAGATGATATAACTATAGGAGGTTAGCATATATTTTTTTACTCCTACAAGCTCGATAGAGATCTAGGGATACATATGCTCTGAGTCACATTATAAATAAGAGTTTAAATAGGAATGATATACAATTTACATTCATCAATTCACAACACTTTATCTAAATATTGTATTTGTTATTTTTACTATTTATATTCAATGATTGAATCTGCACAACCAACATTTTTATTTTAGTAGGATAATTTAGCAATTAGAGTAAACAATAGTAGTTGATTACTAGAAAGCATACTTCCTCGTGAGTCTAATACTCTACTCTATCACTTTATTACTTGATTAGATATGTATGCTTACATATATTAAGTGGGATTTATTACTTTTTTTATATATCAAAGAAAATCTAAGCATTATTTAGGGGAGCTAGTGCCTTACACATTTAATAATTCAAAATTGCACTCCATAGCCCCTATCATTGAACTATGATTATATGATTGCAGGAAGATTTTAGTGATTTATTGTCTTCTGCTTAAAAAAATCAATCAAAAAATATATATTATTTATTTTATGCATACATACATATCATATAAAATTTACTTTTTAAAATAATAAAAAAAAATTTATATAATTAAATTTCAGAAAATAGATAATTTATTAGTCTTGTATTATCAAATTATTTATTTTATGCATACATACATATCATATAAAATTTACTTTTTAAAATAATAAAAAATATTTTTATATAATTAAATTTCAAAAATGGATAATTTAATCTTTTATTATCAAATTGCTAAGGCTGAAAACTTAAGCAAACAATTAATATCTACTCGCAAGAACTTAAAAAGAGTATTACTCAAACAAAATTTATTATTGAAACAACTTTTTTAAAACTCATTTTTTTAAATATTTGTTTCTAAAATTTCATTTTACATGATCAACAACCCAATCAAAAAGGCCGATAGCGAGCGAGTTGCTTTTTATCTACGTTTTCGGTTGCACAATCCGCGCAACGCGGTCCTACCCCTGCACTCTCGGTCCTGTGCAACGCCCACTCAAATTGCTACCCTCAAAGCTACAGCTGCGGTTTTTGTTCCAATTCGGCAGAGGAGAGCTTAGCACTTCTTCAAATGATCAAGTATTTCCCTTTAAGAATCCCTAGATCAACTTCATTAATAACTGTGCTTGTTCTTTCACCGAGCCGAATGACTTCCTTTGATCCTATATGCAATGTTGTGCTTATTTTTTCAGATATTTCCTAAAACATTACTTGGGCGGAACGTCAGCTGGTCCGTTTTCATGGTTTTGGATTGGATTTTTGGATCATTTTGTTCTTTTTTGGTTAAAGACGTGCAAATTTGACATATTGTTTTAATCCTTTTGCTTGATAAAAAATGGGTCATATTAAAGCTACGAGGGAACATTCTTGACTTCTCGGGCCGGGTATTTTGTAAAAAAAGGCGTGATTTTTGTTAAATTGATCTGGGAGGATCACTATGGCCTTAGGGATCCTTATTAGTCTCTCTTTCACTACATCTGTTGGTTACATACAGTAGGTCTTTGAATTTTTGTTCGTTTCTTATGTAACTCTTCAGTGAATGGGTTTACTTTTTGGCTTATGAGCAGTATAGACAAATTCCACTTGATGTAGAAATATGATTTACAAGTAATCATTGTTCGTTGTATCAGGCGCATGAATATTGGTAAATGTAACATCAAATTGGTAGGTACTGGGATGCATTAGAAGGCAGTCAAATTTGCACCTGTGTTGCGATCCATACAGATTGCAGAATGTCATGTATGGAGGGAAATTTTGAATTAGGGGTTTGAATTAATGTATTAAATAGGAAGGGGTGTTTAGGATTGGGGTTATGCATGATTTGTGTCTGATTTGGTGTCTTGAGTTCTTGGAGTCTTGGGCTCTAGCTTTGTTTAGGGATTGGGAGAGAGCGATCCTCCTCTCGAATTGAGGATCAATTGTACTTTACTTTTCTTCTTTCGTTAGTTTAACCATTGCAATAAAATTGCTATTTTTCTCATTCAAATTACGGAGTTTTTCTCGCTGTTTTTGTCTCTTTTGTTAGGGTTTGCTTGAAATTTTCAAGTATTTCCTAACAAATTGGTATCAAAGTATATTTTGGGACTATTTGTGGGTTGTTTTATGGAAAATCAACGGCTGTTTTTGGCCGGAGGAAGAGATTTTTTGCTGCTTTTTTGTCAATATCCAAATTTTTTGAACCTACAAAAATTTTGGGTATTGATGGCGGCCAAGAAGGTAGATGCATTGGAGGAACGCCTAGAAGGGGAGATGAGCCAAATGAAAGCACTGGTAGAAGACAAAATTTCATATATGGAAGATAAGGTTTCCAATCTTCATGAGATGGTGAAGAAGATATTGGGAAATCAAGTTCAAACGGCAACATCGAAGGCAAAAGGACCGGTGGGGAGAAGGACGAATTCTGAATTTTGTAGGAGGTATAGTAAGGTAGAAATCATGGAGGAGAGAAGTGGAAGGTGTGGAGAG